AATGTTTTAATTGTTATAGTTGTTATACACGCGTTGAATTGACAGCTGTTTTTGTCGCTATATTACTCATTGCTATATTACGGAAGGTATTGTCTGTGACCCCATTTATAACGGCGGTGGTTGATATTCTAAGAGTAGTCGGTGCATCCGTCGAAAGTATAAGGTTTATATAATTTTTTTATTTTTTATTTTTATTGAGTAACTAAATAGCGTAACAAATTAATTTGCCCTGTCTCCCAAATTAGGTTGTCCTGTATGTCAGGAGTCAGTGTTCTCTAAGTATTACATAATATATTTCGTAAGTAAAAAATAATCTATTCAAGAGCAGGTTTAAATAATTCCCATCAACTATATAAGGCATGTGCACAGCAATTATGTTCATTTAATCATAGAATAATATTAAAAAATAAGTTTTTTAAATTTGAAATTTAAATTCATGGTTCTGGTTTCATATTTACAGAATTCGTGGCTATATGTACAATTTTGATAAAATATCTTTTTTTATGTGTCAATATTAATGTGACGAATTGTCATGAAATGGCTTTAATAAAAGCTCGCCTTGAATAAATTATATCTCTGAACTGCGATTTACTGCCTTATGGTCACAGTATTACTATTAACCAGTATGGTAACTATATAGAGCCATAGAGCCATTTCCAGAAATAAATACCTACGCTGCTTGAAATCGTTAAGGTCATTAATTTTTATAAAAATACTTTTTGGCGTCAGAATACACAAGGGATGTCATAGATATTATTATATTCGGTTTACCTATTGATCGATAAATTAAAGAAATTAAATTAGCTATAGGTATAATTTTAAGAGCTTTTTAATGTAATTATTCACTGAAAGTACTGTCATCTTTTGCAATGCGTTCGATAAATTTTGTTGTTGAATTTTAATAAAAAAATACGCTTTAATACGATCATTTTGAAATAAAGTATTATTCTTAACGTCCATCATCAATATGTAAGCTATTTAAAAAATCATGATTCGATTTTGATGAATTTTAGAAGGCCTATGCTAAACAAGTAAATCAAGTAAGAGCTTGATGCGGCAAGCATAACTGAGTGCACTGCGACTTTAGCTTATAATCCTCATCAATGAAAGTGTTTGCGCATGAATTCGACAGTCTGTTTCTAATTAACTCACTGTTTCAATTATTATACTGTGGCACTGTAATGTCATTATATCAAAGGCTTTACACGATGAAGGTTGTACTACTAATATTTCTTAATTATCATCGAATAAGAACTATTGAGCTGAAATTGATAAAATTTCTGTGGAATAACGTTACTATCGGTTTTTTTGGCGTTAGGATATTATTTTCTTTAAGTGTGTGAATAAGAAAAAGAGTAATATTTTATGCTTCTTTATGTTTCAGTTCGATGACTTCATTCGATCACTGCAAGTAGACCCCAATTCACCCCTATTCAGGCTTGTCACAGACGGACAACCTCCACTAAGGTAATATGAAATAATGTATTTGTTTGTCTCACATAAATTCTTTTAATATTAAAAAAACATTCATAACACAATGTTTTATTTGTTTATTAAAATCAATATGAACTACAATATATCAAGAGAAGTTTTTAGAATTACTTTTACTTATTAAGTATGCTTTTTTTAGCCTTCTTTATTTTTATATTTTATCTCGTCGAAGTAAGTCAACCACAAGCAAACGACAAAAAACATCTAGCAAATAAAAACAAAAAAGACGCGAGAACATAAAGAGACGTACACAATCCTCTTTGGAGTGAACTTTATAATTTGATTGAAGAAAAAAATATTACCATACCATACTATTCAGTGTCAATTTTTTGTGAATACCCTTTGATTCTAATCTCTTTGCTACATTTCCTTTTAATGGTTTCCCACTGATTTAAATAAGTAGTATTGTTTCCAGAAAGTTTTTGAAAGTTTATCAAATTGCAATACTATGCACTAAGTTTTAATTTACAATACACTTTAATTTGAATCGTTAAGATGTCAGAATAAGTATCTATCCAAGGATAGAATTCTTAAACCAAGTTTAAACAAATTAATTAACTCTTATCGTTCGAAATATCGATGTATGAGCCGTGATCATCTGACACTATTGACTATTGAATAAGCTAAAAATTATCGTATACTTCATAATTCATCCTGTTATTTTGATGAAAACATATGACAACGAAACTTAAACTATGATTCGATTTCGATAAAATTTGACTTTAAAATGTTTAAAACCCGTCAAACTAAACAAAATTCAATGTTATCTCAAAAAAAGCATCTATTTTTTTATACATAGGTGTATTCTGTTTTAGAAATGGTACCCGTACATCATTAGCGATGTAATCGCGACGGAAATGGCTCCCCAAAACAAAATTACTGATAGAATCCATTCATAACCCTAAATGTATACAAATAAATGTTAAAATAGGTTATATTTAAACCATCGGTTACCGGATCACGGGTCATATTCTATCGATATGTATAATCCTGCATCATTATGCAATCATTGTAATGAGTTGTGTATTGTATTTCAAATCATTTTTACGTTATTCTAACAAATCTTATCAACGAAGGTCATCATCAGTGATTGTGTATTATATTGTTTATTTCAATAATAATAGTATGACATTGTTGTTATATATAATTGACATAACAGAGGCCTAGTAAATACTTCGTGTAATTATGTTTTCGTCAATGCATTGAAGATAATTGGGATGGATTGGTAATGTATTTTGTATGTGAATGCTTAATATTATTGGTAATCAGATGATTTACCCTTTCGTGTGCGTTACACTTGATTTTATTGTTAAGGTAAAAAGTATAGAAATAAAAAACCGACTATATGCGATTCGGGGTGGCCCCACGAACGGTCAACCTTTAGCAATAAAAAAATCACGATTATATATTTATTTTATTATGTTTTAGTAGTTGTTTTTGTTTGAGTAGCGACATTAGAATTAAATAATTAATGAAAATTTCATCTATCTATAACGGTTCCCGAGATATAGTAATACAATAAATTGTAGTTTCACCCGCGTATGATGTAGCTTCCTATTAGTGAAAGAAGTTTTAATATCGGATCCGTATTTCCTAAGATTACCCACCACAAACGAAGTTGTAAATATAATATATTATTATAACCGAATAGGGAGAATGGGCCATGACCCACCACCCGGCCCAGTACTGATTTGTGGGTATAAACGACTCCAGATGCAGGCTTTGCGTGCCTTCCGAGGCACAGAGGAGCCCGAGATAATAAATTTTTAGTCACCCATCCTATGTCCGGCCATCGCGAAAGTTGCTTAACAACCGTATCGCGGATCGAGCGCGCTAACCACTGTCCCGGTATTTTTAACCTAATCTCAAAAGCTTTATTTGTTTCACAGACAATGTATGCACCCCGAGGCGTGCAGCAAAGAGATCACATTGCCGTCGTACTACGCGCGGTTCCACGACCTCCGCAAGGAGTACGTGCGCGCGTACACGCTACGGGCTGTAGCGCCGGCGCGCGCCCAGCCCACGCCGCCCCCACCAGACCACCCTAACTCCATGCTGGACATGCTCAACTGTATCCTTTAAAAAATTATGCAACCAGTGAACATAAAAGTTAAGCCATCTAAGGCTCAAACAAAGCTGTCGTCGTTTCGTTTCCCGAATTGATTTTACTCAACTGCCTCCTATACATTTTCGATCTGTCAGAAATCTTTGAATAATTTTTGACCAACAGTTTTCTTGGAGACCTTACCTTATTAAATGATAACTGCCTCACTTTTCCGTAGTGAACCGAGAACCCTTATAGTTTCGCACTGACCATCTGTTCGTCCGCTGTTTAGCTCATAAACTATTGATACTACAAAGTTGAAATTTTTCATGAGCTTCTAATATTGCTCATTTTTTATCCCATCTTTGTATACGTGGCAATGCATCGTCACGTGTATCGGGTAAACTCACAAACTTGATTACGTAGGATCTTTTTACTTGTTGGCTTGCTTACGTCAATATATGACAGAACTTTCAAGGGCACAGAGGCGAAACTTGTTTTCATTAATTTCATTTTCATTTTACATGTAAAAATTAATTTATTTACTTGACATTGGCAGAATTGTGCGAAATGCGCAGATAAGCCATTAATTAAAAAAAGAAGAAGAGGAAGGCGAAACTTTCTGTCAGATGGTTGTGTCGCGGGGTGAAGTGTTGTATACTGACAACTCGTTATTCGCGTTCAGGAATGTAACAGACACTTTTAGTACCTATTTATAAACACATACATTATCTTTATTGTTTCTTTGTACCTATTGTCATTTACTAGAAAAATTATATCAAATGTCACTACCTACAGGCTCTGCCAGAATACCAGCACTGTTGCGTGAGTTGATTCTCACTGTAACAGCACAAGCTGAGGTAGTGTCCTGATTGACCCCATCACATATATATATGATAGGTTGAAATTTGTATGTTACCGTCTTCTATATTCTGTATCACTTTTTATTTTATTTTTTTGTTTATAATTGTAATGTGTAATGTGATGGTCAATAAAAATACTTACTTACTTACATGAGTATACACGTTAATTATTACAAATAACGTTAAAGTATAACGTTAAAGTATAACGTTAATGTGTAGCCCGGTGGCGTAGTAGATAAGCGCTTCGGCCCGCGATCGTTGTTGTTAAGTAACTTTCGCAGGAGTCGGTTATGGGATGGGTGACCAAAAATATATTATCTCCAGATATACCGTGCTTCGGAAGGCACGTTAATCCGTTGGTCACGGCTGCATTTGCAGTCGTTAACAACCTCCAATCCGCAATGGGCCAGCATGGAGGGTCATGGCCCATCCTCCTAAACCATCCACAAGGAAGGCCTGAGCCCTTGCAGTAGGTACATAAAAGGGCTAATGATGATGCACGCTTATTACGCCAACAGTGGTAATGCAAACTTTAAAAAATATTTTACCCTTACATTTTTGTCTTCCCCATAGTGTGAGGCATCGTTGGATAGGTCTTTTCAGAAACAGTAGGAGTTTGGGAATACCGAGTTTCAATTTAGTAAACCGCTTGCGACTTATTTAGCTTTAAAGAGCAACTTTTGGTTACAATCCTGTCTCCCCTCTACCATCAAAGCCAGAGGTTACCAAACATTTTTTTCTTGTAGACTATTTTAAAAAATTTACTGGTTTTGGTGGACCCCTGCTGCTACATTTTTTTTTACCACATTCCCAAAATTCGTCCAAAATGTGAAGATCTTAGGATAGAAATTGTTTTTATTTCACGCCAACGTAGACCCCCGTTGAATCTGTTGCGGACCCCTGGGGGTCCACCTGGACCACTAAGGGAATCACTGATCTAAACGGTCGTTGGTAAAAATTTAAACGTTACCTATACCGGCAGTAGTACCTATGTATAACGAAGTTTAAAGAAAACTATCAGACTTAAGTTAGCTTTACAAGTTTACGAGTAATAGTCGACCATTTGTATTTAACTCGAAAATTTCGAACAACTCCATACAAAACAACAAACATGATGTTTGTAATGGATAATGGTACGGCCGGTTTTTTTATATATTATATAGATTATGTATTATACTAGTTAACTATAAACAAATGGTAACTTTATATTTCTATGTTAGTATTGAAACTAAATAATTTTGTTACATATTGTATTCAGATTTAGGTATAGCCCCTTATTCGGGGGAGAATTTTTATATAGCAGAAGCAAAAGACATGGCCAGTGTCATACAAAGGATAATCTCTGATGGTAAGGATGTTTTTTATTTGTATAAGAAAAACACAACAGTGCGTTTTTAATATTGTTACTATAAAATATAGACAATTTCTTTCTCGTTAACTATTAACGTTAACGTTATTTTTTAGCCTTTAACCTTTAAAGTTTTCAAAAAGTTTTGGTTTTGTACAAAGTGGTAACGTCCAAATAAGCTTTAACTAAAAATAAGAAAACTATATTATATCTCTAAGGGTTCTATCACAGCCAAAATGAGGATATATAAAATTTTCAAGAAAAAAATCACAAATTTACTAATTTGAAATTCGACATCTTTGTCAATTCTGTTTCTCGTCTTGGACACCTTGGACTAATGAATTTTTAAAGCATTTTTTTAAAGATAAATCACATTTCTCTTATTGACAAACACAACACGACTTAGATTTTTGTTTATAAAGATTTCTCATGTGTTTTATTTTTCGTTTTATCCATCAGGTTACCGGTTAGAACTGCCGGAAACGATCGACTTAGTTCTAGAGACTGGAATTTGGTGAGTTTACTTAATTTTCATGTATATATATTGTTTTGATAATCGTGATTATCGACCAATACTAATCGATTTATAAATGGGTTTAAATTTTATTTGTCATGAACGAAAAATACTGCATCTAAAAGAAAATAACAAACAGATTTAATTTATAAAATGTGTTATTATCTTTTACTGTAAATGTTGACTGACAATATTATAGCCGAGGAAAATAACCAGGAACTACGGTTTTTTGTTACGTTAAAAACGCCTTAAAAATAAAATAGCAATTTTTTGACTTACTCATATATCTAAATATTGAAATTAAAACAGGCGTTCAAATTTATTTTATTAGTAGGTATCTTTAGAATTAACACTATTGAATTTTTAAATTTAGTTAACATTTCCTACTAAAAGTCACTTCGATTGAAATAAAAAAAATTGGTTCATCGTCTCCCAAGAGTCAAATTCCCTCAATTTTTTTTCATTTAAAGGAGTCACTTCGCTTGAAATAAAAAAAAAAACTGATCACTAAATTGGCAATAAGATTTTTTTTTATTCGTGGTTAACTCAATCATTAGTTGAAAACTTCGAATAATGGTTAAATATCAGAAAAATATTTTTTTTGGCCTAATCAATTGTCAGAATTCCAACTATTATTGAAAAATTTAACTGCGCCTGGGAGTTAGGGTAAGCAAATGACCAATGGTTAAAAGAACAGATGGTTTACAACTGCAAGGTTTACAAGTGCATTGTACCCTTGTCATTGTTTTTACGTTGTTTTTATAGCTTACATATTCACAGTGAATTAGTACATTAATATTTTTTGGGATTTCATTTTATGGTGCAAGATTACATGAAAAAAATATTTAAAAAAAATATTATTGTCATTTTTGAGTTTTAATCACATTTTTAATTGGATCCTCCTTAGTATATTTGTACTATTTAAAATTATATGTTTTCTTGCTTCCAAGGCCATATAGGTACCTATGCCAAATATTCAAATTATAAAAACCTTATAACATGCACGAATAGGCTATCGTAATGTAATGTCTATACAATATATAAAATACATACTTATTCCTTTACTATTTTTCAACATTACATTCCCACCACTAGGCACTTGATATTATAATTTTTTACGTATTTTTCTATAAGATTAAAATATGCTTTAAACGTTAATCCTAAAGTAACTCCAAAACATCTTTTTCCATTAATTCAAGAAATGGCTTTTTATTTCCCGAAAAATAAAACATAGTTTTGCGCACTATGTTTTTACAACAACGACCATACAAATCCAAATTATTTAGTAACCTATAGATTTTTTTTGTCAATTTGACATTTGGACTAAATGCTAATGTTAAGAATGGTTCGCTCCGTTAATGAGTAAGTATTAAAAAAAAAAGCGAAAGCACTAAAAAAGGACCTACACTAAATGGCGATTCTAGCAAAAGTGATTTTTGCAGGAAACGAATTGACCAAAGACAGTCATTTCCGTTCCTTTTAACTAACATATTAAAAAACTGAAATTCAAAAAGTTCGAAACTTAGATATCGATACAAATACGAAAAAGTACAAATAGAATGTGAGTTGTTTACTGTGTTTTGAAAACCAATTTACTTTTAAACATGAAAGAAACCCGGAAGGGTTGTCATGGAGAAATCAAGAACGTTTTTTTTCGGGAACTAATGTTTTTTTTAGAAATACTTCCTCATTCAAACCGTTGTTGTCATCCACATAAAATCATGTCAATATAGTTATAGCGAAATATTGACCCATTATGCTGGCAACAAATTAACTAGTGGTTAACTTTGGCTATGGTTTATGGACAAGTTAACAAATGGTGAAATTACATTTGACTACGTATCAAAATATCGGCCCTATGCGAAAGCATGTTTTTAGTATTGACGTACTGTCTATTTATTATTTTGTTTATCAAAATCATGAAGAACGCACAGTAATAATTGTTGTAGCTGAAATGGCTTAACCGTCATTTGATCCAAAATAACTTTGTATTTTAAACTTACTTTATATTAAAGTTTAAAGTCACTTGGCTAAAATAAAAGCAAATAACATTGAAGAAAGATCGGTTTCCATTTAGCTAAAATATGTAATGATGCATGTAATGATTACCATACGATTGTCACGCGATTTCATACAATCGGTTGTTATTTTTACTTATCACTGGAAGATCAAGCCTAAGTTCAAGTTGCAGACCAACCACATTATAAACATCTTACCTATATTAAGACAACACTCTTATGACGAAACATATTAGTCTGTTTTTTGAGGAGCAGAACTAAAGCAGTTGTTAAATATCCTACCCAATAAATGACAAATAATTTCAGCCTAAAAATAACTTTAAGAATTTCCATATAGAAGTTTAGTCAACAGCACATCAGGATATACAAATCAACAACGAGCAACTCAAGTGAAATAATAGGAACACTGGGTAACAGATTTCGTTGCACTAAAGCCATAGTGATGACGAATGTCTCGAAAAAAAACAAAAGACAGTCAAATCATAACTGGATTATTTTATAATCCTCCAAGATTTCGATGCTCCAGGGATTTCATCAAATCTCTTTTTTATAATTTCCTAGTGAAATTTACAAATATATATCATCATAAATCATTTGAAATTCAAGTGGCAGTATCTGTGTGGCACAGCCATAAAAAAGACATTCAGCCAAGCATTCAGCAGTTGGTTATTTTCTGTGAACTTAGCAAAGAAATTCAACCCATACGGCTATAGCACTATGTAAAATGTAGCACGTATTGGGCTGTTACCACGATACGGTTAATTTTGGGTTCAAAATAATAAATCCAACATAATCAAATTACTAAGTAAACATTGAATAATTTTTATGTATTGCATAATATTTCTGGTGGCAAATTTTAAAATATTTTTTCTATTTTTGCTTTTCTGATCTTTTACCGTATTATAGTTCAGGTAAGATAATACTCGTAATATAGCAAAAAAATATATAAATAAATATAAGATAAATATACCAGGCTATATATAAATTAACAAAATACCATAATTTTTTGTATTGATGTTTTTTTTATAAAAAAGACACGTATAATACTACTACTGCGTGGTTTATCACATAAGAGTGAAACTTTTTTAAAAGAAACTCATTCTTCATTCAAAAACGACTTAGTGTTAACACTCGAGTACTTTATCATTGATAATAAAAAGTTAAACACAGTATTTGATAAATAATAATCAATTAGGGTTATCTAAGTAGTATTAGTAGTATAGATTCTTAAATTCGTATTTTGATTAATGTTTGGGTACTTACAATACATTGAGGAACATTTTATAAAATTAAAATAATATATTGACAGGACGGTAGCTGTGAATAAATCAGTTCTCATTGACGTATTCTTTTGATTTATTTGCGCGAAATATGTTAAAAGGCTTTTCTAAAATATTGCATACAGTAAAGTCAACATATCGTCACAAGAAACATGATTTCTGTAATAGCTTATAAGTCTTAATTTATTCACGTTTTAGTTCAGAATGGATTGCAGATTTTGTCGTAACCAGATATGCTGGTGTAAATAGGTAAATAATCAACGGTTACTTTGTAACATAGTTATATTCCAAAATTCTGTTTAAATATTAATTCATTCATTTCTACTGATGTAATCGTAAAGCCCGTTCCATAGTTGTATCACTTAATAACACCTAAATTAATAGATAATAAAACTAACATTGTCGTCGATATTTTTATAATACAATAATAAGCTGCTACCGACCTACTGTTCAAATAATACCTTCTACAGCAAATTAAAATCGTTCAAACAAACGCCTTACGAATCGAATTATCGCACAAACAAATCCCTAGTACAAGGTACAAACACATATCGACGCACGCGCAGGTCGGAGTGTCACCAAGCGCATTCCGTGTCCTTACGCGGTGTGAGACGCTCGTGTTACGTTCTTGAAAATAAGAGTAAAAATATAAATAATAATAAAGCGACAGCTTATCTATTTATGTTTTGAAACATCGTTAAGTGTTAAAAAAATCGTGCCTGATAAAGTCAGCAGTGTTCTGTGTAAGTCGCTTTTGGAGTTTTATCGGTCTTCGGCAGCAACTTAAGATAAGGAGGTGAGTGTGGCTGATAGCTTTTCGTTGATAATTACTCCGCTTGACTACGAACCTATACCTACAGTGTAATTTGCTAAATTGTTATAGAAACTAACGACCTATATTCGTCCTAGAATATGAATTTACAATCAAATGACTAGATATTTCATGTAGATATTTGAATGAAACATGATTCCGCATGCACATATGCTGCGTTTACAGAAAAAAATACATGCGCTGCAAAATAATACATTTTTATTAAATATAAATTTGTGATCTTAAGTCTCACTTTCTAGAACTTATATTACTATTATTAACCTTAGACTATTAATTATTATTTTAGTCGGGGGCGTAGTGTTAATTATGCAGATATTAAATTTCATAGCCCAATTTTGTGTTTATATAACATTTGAGCTTAATTGTGTAACGAAATGACGATATAATTTTTAAATCACTCAAAACGTTAATTGTAACCGAATTAGATACATACCTAAAGGAACTATTTTAGGTCACACTAGTTTCTAATACGTATTTATTATTTTAGGTAATTAAAGCAAATATAATTTTCTGCTAACATTAAAATTAACAAACGTAGACGCAAAAATGTCATAAAGACTTAAAGAAACAATGAACTCGTTACCGTGAGTTCGTTTTGTGGTTTCTTGCACAATGCGAACCGTAGTAGTCTTTATTTGAGGTAAAGAACATCAAGATATATCCAAAGCAACCTAGGATGTTTTTAGGTTTAAATTTGTTTGAACAATACGTAGAAATGCTTCGGTTTCGGTCGGTCTCAGTCGGTCAATAAACAGTAATATCGGTCGTTATGGGGATACAAATCCAATACAATACAAATTTAACAAAATTCTTCAAACTTTCCAAGTTTAATAAAAAGTTAGCATGATTATTTTTAATTTACATCATTAA